CGGTCTCATCAGTTGTATACTTAGACATGTTGGAAAACTTCATATTTCCACAACTAGAAGAGCTTCAGCCACCGTCTTTTTACAACAAGATGGTGCACCACCTCATTGGGGTACCATCGTTCGTAGTTCTTTGAATGACCATTTTACAGAAAGATGGATTGGGCGAGGAGGTCCAATTCCTTGGCCACCCAGATCACCTGATATAACACCGCTGGACTTTTTCCTTTGGGGATTTGTAAAGGACAACGTTTACAGGAGGAGAGTGTCGAACATTGATTACCTAAAAACAAGAATTATAACTGCAATAGCCTCTGTGGATGCCAACATGCTTGCCGGTACCTGGCGTGAAATTGAATATCGACTTGATATTCTCTGTGAGACGAAAGGGTGCACAGGTGGAAGTTCATTGACAAGGGTCATGAAACTTTTTTAGTCTATCTAACCATTTATAAATAAGCCCTTAATTTAAATCTATCTTTATTTTATGAGTTATTAAAATCAAAAAATAAATTAGATACTTGACTTTCAGTTGATCATTATGGTACTTGGCGTTTTTTTTGGCGAAAAGTTGGCGACCAACTCTCTTACAGCAACCCTCTATTTTTTTTTCCCGCCGCCCGAAGTAAGACAGTTTCTTCTTTTTACTACTGACACTTCTTAACAATCTACTAGCCGAATTACATTGCTAGAAATTTTATCTAACAAACTGCTTAATCATGACAATACACTGCAAAATTGGAAAAAGTGCACAAACCATACTCCTTACGCGTTTTCAAAATACACATACACATAAACCTGTACACGCCGACGTTTTTTACTTAAAAAAAACATACCAGAATTGCAAAAATGCATTGCGCACACTCTTCACTAATACTTTATAAACACGGGACTTTATAAACACCCTGTATATATACATATTTACTCATACAATAAGGAATATAATGCAAGAATTAAAAAAATTATGGGTTGATCTTTACAATATGGTAACTGGTAGTTTGGCGACATTTTGGAGGCGATAAAGGTTACTACACCTTGGACTTTGGTAATAATGTGAGTAGTACTCAGTTCCGATTACGCATTATTTTGTGTGAGGGAAATGAGAGATCATGGGATATGTCATGTGATATTAATGGACGAATTACGGTTCTTTAATCGGAAAAGGGAGGAAATCGGGAAAAAATCTGGAAATTTTGTATTTGGTTTATTCTGTGTTGTGTGAAACAGTGTTCGCGAATTTTTGGATCCATTGGCCGTAACTAAAGAAAAGTTTATCGGACACGCAATCAAGATTCTGAAGAAGATGAGGTAAGTTAGTATTTTTAATTATTTGAGGATATTATTTTTATGCATTGTTCTAAATGTAAGGTGGAAGTAAAGGAATTTGGTATTATTGGGAAAATTATTAGCAATGATTTAGTTTAAAGTAATTAGGATTGTAAGGTAATTTTATTAATTTAATGTATGTGCTCATTTATATTTTAAGTAGTGTTTTTGAATTTAATTATTTTTAATTAAATGATAGTTATTTGTGAATTTTATGTTTGTAGGAATTTGGTATACGTTTCAGTTGAAGTAAACGTGCATGGAAATAATTTAAATATTTGATACTAAGTATCTGTAATGCTTGCGGTATGAATTCGTTGGTGACGTGTATAATGTAATAGATGATTTAGAGGTAAAAGTTTTTGGATATTTATTTATTTTATATGTGAAATGTTCATATTTGGAAAGGGTAAATACTTTTTTCACGATCAGGTAATTTCATATATGTTCTTTTTACCGGGTTTAAAGATTGAGAAAATTGTCATGTATTTTCGTGAAATTTTTCTAATTTATGAGAAAAAAAGCAGTGTACATGGATATAGTGAAGAGTGTGCGCAATGCCATTTTTGTGCAATTCTGGGATGTTTTTTTAAGTAAAAATAAGTCGGTGTGTACATGGTTTATGTGTATGTGTTATTTTGAAAAACGCGTAAGGAGTATGGTATTGTGCACTTTTTCCCAATTTTGCAGTGAATATTTCTCATGATTAAGCAGTTTTGTTAGATAAAATTTCTAGCATAAGTGTAATTCGGCTAGTAGACTGTTGGAAGAAGTGTTCAGTAGATGAAAAGAAACATGTCTTTATTTCGTGAAGACAAAATGGCGGCGGGGAAAAAAAAATAGAGGGTTGCTGTAGAAGAGTTGGTCGCCAAATTTTCGCCAAAAAAATGTCAAGTTACCATAATGTAAAGATCAACCAAATTATGTTATATACATATATTCTCAATACACACACATATTATAGAAAAATTAAAAACAGCCTTATGTGCTATTATTTAAAACTGAAATCTTTAAACATATATATATATATATATACATATGTAAAGTAAAAAATACAGCTTCACATTGACAAAAACTGATAAAGATTTACAGAATAAGAAATGATGCATTAACTCAAAACTGGTACTTTTCACCTCCCTCAAAGGATAATTAACAATTATTGCACTATTTTGCAAAGGAATTACTGTTTTAAATTAGATACTTGACCAAATAAAAAATCAGAAACAGTGTTCATATTGGTTGTTTTATTTTCTGCATAAGTAATAAAATATTTTGAAGTGCAATGTCCAGAGAAAGCAAGTACAATAAAATAATGAATTATCATTCACAGATTTTGAGTGATATGAATTTATTACTTGAAAGCAGACTCCACTGATATGCATTTTATCTGTTGGACTGCAGAAGAAAATGGAGAAGGCACGTGGAAATTGTGCAGTTTTTTAAAAACTGTTCAGTTTTAGTTAGTAATTTATAGATAAGATGCATATCAGTGAGCTCCATGTTTGTATAGCATTGCATAATACATGAAATCTGTTTGGAGAATGACACTTTACATCAGCTGCACACTTTTATCTTTTGCTCAACAGTTCCTTGTACCACTTCAAGGGAACATTTTTGGCACATACAAAATCAGCTATATTGGTCGCCTCGATCTGCCCTTCATTTTTTGCCAGATATTTTTCAAGCATCTTGTGTATGAATAGGAAAAGCATTTAAAATTATTTTGAGTCCTCAGAGGAAAAAAAGAGATGTAAATGAAACATGATGGCATATTACAACATCCAACAAATTATATATTTTGGTACAACTCTGATATACGCCCTAATTTCACCAAATGTGGCGATATGTGTTCTGAGCTGGTTTTTGGCTCGATTGCGTGTTGTATGGCAACCCTGTTGACGTTGAAAAATCTTTCGGTGGAGTCCGTTGGTTCGCGTCATGCTCTGTGTCTGAGAAGCTAGGGGGGGAAGATAAAATGATGAAAAGTTGTTGAATAGAAGTTCAGCAAAAGGAAATATCGTCGTGGCCATCCTGTTGAGGGGCAGTGGGTATTTGGAGGTGTGGAAAGAGGGTCTGGGAGATTATTTTTAGTGGCTGTGCATGACAGAAGTAGGGATTTGTGATTATTTGTTATTTTATTTTTTTGGGAACCATAGTATGAATTTTCTGGATAGTGTGTCTGGCTGTCATGCAAATACGATAGTGATTACGTGGCAGCATGTTAAAGGCGGTATGAAATTGGTATTTCTGCTGTTCGAAAAAGCATTAATTCATGGTAAGTACATCTTATTTTATTCTTGTTCTTATTTTGTAGAATGTTATGTTCATTGTTTTTTTAGTATGAATTTCTGTCGTTATTGTTTTTTTTTTAATTGTTTGAAATTTATTTTAGTTATTTTGTTGATTAGTGCGTACCGTCTAAATTGTGCAATTCGTAGATGTATTTTAAAGTTGAAACAGAATGCTGTATACATGGTATTCTTTGAAATTTATTGTTGTTATGTTAATTTATTAAAGTGAGGTGTGCGTAGTTCGTAGATTCGTTTGCTGCCTAAATTGTGCCATTCGTAGATGTTTTTTTAAGTTAAAACATATCGCTGTGTATGTGGACTCTTGTCAAATAGTTTTGGTTAGAAACTTTACGGTTTTGCTATCTAAAGTTTTTGTTTTTGTTTCGGATTTTTAGCTTAAATTGTGTGTGCAAAACGTGGTTTTTGCATTCGCGAAAACCGTGTTTTTGGAGACATTTTAGGCTTAAATTTGAAATGTAGACAAAAAATTTAGATAGCAATATGCAGCATGGGGTTTCTCGCCAAAAATGTTTGGCGAGAAATTTGGCGACTTGAGGGCGCATATCAGAGTAGTTCCCATATTTTTTAAGGAAATAATAATAGCAAAGAAAATCTTTTCTAAATTTAACAAGAGAAATATTTAGCATCTCAACACAGTTTTCCAAGTTAATTTTACATTTAAAAAAAAAAAAAAATTACAATTTATAAGACATTGCCTAAATTTTCAAAAAACGCACAAAAGTAGGAAGACATATAGAAACAGAAACTTGAATAAATCAAATACAAGCGTACATGTACTTCTAGGAATGACTTATACAGAAAATTTGTTCATCTGTAGGCTTTCTCTTAGAAATGACAAACAGAAGGAATGCTTGTTGTTTTATAAGGACAAAATATAAATATATAAATGAAATTTATACTTTTTAATCCACAGTGGTCATGAGAACTCAGACAACTCATACACAATACGCCAACTGATGATTAATAAAAATTATGTTATCATACAAGAGAAATATTAAAGCTTATTTAATACCATTTTACAAATCTGAACTACCTTAAAGGCAGAGCATGCATATATATACAATAATGTCTTCAATTCTTGATAATTTAATGATAAAAGAAACACTAACTTAAGTGGCATTCACTTAAACTTTTATTGGCATTAAATTACATTATGTGATTTATTCCCTGTAAAGTAACATATATTTTGTCCATTTTTATGTAACTACAACATGACCCTTTATGTCGAAGTACAACAGTTTAAATTAGGATGATTAATCCCGTCAAAGCTCTCGAAAGCTGTACGTCGTATAAGGCACGATTTAGAAAAACTTTCTCATATTCAAGAACAAAATAGAAAACGAGTTAATTTGATGATACATATACCTCTTCGTTGACTGCCTGTAATTCAGATTCTTCCATAATATATATATATTTTTTGAAGTAACAGTGTTACGAATTTAAACACTTAAAGTATCAAAATAATAATCATTTATAACACTTCTCGATAAATTACAAACCATATTTTACGCGCTTTAGTGCACTGCGACACAGAGTCTTTACGTAGAAAGGATTAAAAACTGGGCTGTTATTTTGATACACCCAACGAGATAGTATATGAAGGCGTTGGATACACCATGTAATACTCAGATGAAAGGATAGATATCTAGTTGGTTTTGGTTCAGGCCAAACATTCTATACATTTCTTAGGAATACAGTCATTAAACTGAAATGTTCCTGATGAACTTGATTGGAGATCTTCCGATACTTTCTCTTGACGACAGGCCTGCTACAGTCTTCATCAGCTTCCAATGAAACAGGTTTATTTTTAATGCAAGCCTAATTTGTAAAAGTATACTGAATTTTTTATTAAACATCTACCGTATTGCAAATTTCTACGTTATCTGTATCATATTTTTTATCACTTTTATTCCTGGAAGTGTGGATACAAGACAATGCAGAGATGAATTTAATGGGAGAGATGGCTCTAATAGACATTAGTCCTATCCAGAGCGGATGCGAATGGGCTGGCTGTATGGGTGTTTTCGTGGTTTCCACATGTCTAACGTGTATACGAGCGAGTTGCCCTTAGAAACTCCTCCTCGAAGGCATCCCTCCCCTTAGGCAGATAGCCATCGAGGCTTTGCCTTAATTGAATAACCTAACCTCTAACCTCCAGAGCGGAGAGCGATTCTCTACAACTATAATCCATCTGTAATATTCGGATTAGCTCAAAAACAAAGTGTTTGGATTTGAATTTAGATGTCTGGAGCAGTTACATTAGTGGTTTTTGAATGTAAGGCGTTTATAAGGTGACACTGCAAATGTTTATTATTATGAAGAGCTTAGAAGAAAAGGAAGAAAATTGCCTTTCTTCTTGATGGCGTATTAGAATGTCTCTCGTTGACCTTCGAGGAGGGCTGCATAGTGCAACTTTCTTCATTAATTGATAGTGTAGAGTGTTAACGGATAGAAGCAAGTGATTTTCCCCAATTCACTTCGGGCAATAAACCGGCCGACGAGCCATTTTGAAAAGTAGAAACCAGTACATTAATTATGAACGATGATACCACGTATTTTATGCCAACGCTGAATGGTGGTATGAAAAAATTATTTGTAATTGATTCTTCCAATAAAGAGGACACTGTTTACACAGGAATACTTGTGGAGCGTAGATAAGTCCGAATGATGGAGTGCAAATGACTTTAGATTCAGAAATTAAACTGGATTGGAATACGCCCCCCAGTGGTCGAGTAGAAAGATAACTGAATGTTAGTGATATGTTCGAAGGAATTGAATCGCAGTGACATGGCTAGCTGCATGAGCATTTGGGTAATTTTTCGGATAAAAAACGAATACAAGCAATTTTCTGTCAAAAAAGAGAGTTGACTCTAGTGACACAGGTAAGCATAACAACACCTTATTAAGATTTAAATAATACAACCCCTTAAACTATGAACACTATCTGGAATGCTGGAGAATGGAAAAAGGACTTCATAAAGGGTCTTTTTCAAAGCAGAAAGGATATACATTCAATGATCGTCTTTCACTTGTGCAATGTTAAGCGCTGTGATTGAAATAATAATTTCTATTCGTTCTTTGCCTTCTGTAGATTTAATAAATTTCATTTCCAACATTTGTAAACGCTGATTCGCTTTTCGATACGATTATAAACTGTAGGAAAACAATTATTAATAATGAAAGCTATTTTTTGCTATATCTATATAGCTGTATTCAAATAATCGCCTGTTTTGCCTAAATAGAGTTAAAAAGTTAATAAGTAACGTAACTAACTCGGATATATGAGTAAGCAGTTTTTTGAACTGTAGCGAATTGGAACAATGAGACTCCTAAAACTTTTTCTGATCGTTTAACTTATATTATTACAATAATTTTAATCCTATCTGATAAGTATGGTTAAATAAGTAGGAAGTCCTAAAGCAATTTATCTATCTGAGATAAATCGCTTTAGGACTTCCTACTTATTTCAGTTTTTCATCGTTGAACTAATTTTTGACATACACTCAACATATAGTCATCCAAATGATCAACAGGCACTACTGACCAAATTTTTATTCAAGACTCTTAATACCGGTGGTGCATGGTTCAGACGAAGAAATAAAAAGAACATGCTTTGTTTTAGGGAGTAAAACTCGTTATTACTAGTTTTACGAAATTTTCCATGGTTACCTCTTTGATGGTTTCATTCTTTACTCATTGAATTCAACAATCATGCCAAAGTTCTGTCTCACTTTTAAAATTTTTCCAAGAATAAAATTACGAAACACTGCACTTTTCTGCTAAACGTTTCGTCGGCCTCTTTAACATAGATCATAGTTAGCAGCAAAAAATGCTGATAAACTGCTGCTGGAAAATCATTTTCCTTCTAGTGTCATTATAAAAAACCGATATCTATTATTACTACAAATCTTCTCTAAAACTCCTTAATTGTAGATGCTGCAGCATTTGAATGATGCTATACTTACTATGCTCGGTATTTAAAATTCAACTGAAATTGTTTGACCTGGCGAAAGACAGTATATCCTAACATAAAACATCTGTTGCTTTACGATGTTCTTTCACGAGCTTTAAAAATCCGTTAATGTAGTCCACATTAGTGACATATACTGATTTCTTGGTAATAAATTATTAGTAGAAGGTAATATAAACATGATACAGATAGCATTTTTATCAGACCCATGGCTGAAGAATTCGAAATGCAAAATATTGAGGATGCACACATTAAAACATTCAGCGACTATTCAAATTTAACAGATTGTCGATGATCTCAGCGATGCTTGGAAAATTTGATAAACAACGGATGACATTTTTCTATTTTGGTAGAACTTAAATTAATTTGAAATAGAGGGCTATAAATTAATAGGATATGCTTACATAATTTTCTATAAGAATAAATTGATGGCATATTCGGATAAGCAATTAGTACTCTTTTCCTGTACCATTCGTAAACAACACTATTTTTCGATGTGGGGTAGGGGCTTGGACTCAGACACCCTGGTGCTACACCAAAATTTTCTCTTCGTGCAAATTAGCACTCTGAAATGTAAGAAGAACTAATGTAAAGTTAGCATAGGAATAATGCTGCTACTTTTGCTATTATTTGTAGCCCCATATTTATTATGTGAAACCGATGTTCCATCTGGCTTAGGTTACTGAATTAACTGCTGCATAAATATAAACAAACTAAGATAGATGGAATCGCTGCAAAACATGGAAACCCTAAAAAGAAAAATATAAGCACACCAAATTAAAATTTTACATAGTAGACAAATTCCTACAAAATTAAGTAAAAATCATTCTCACAAAAAAATGTAACGAAGCTATAAGGAAATGGATGTTTATACTTATTTGATGTTAGTAAAGCCGGCAAAGGCTATCTATGGGAAGGGAGGAATTTGTGTATATCTTTCTAAAGGAAACTGCCTCATATTAAGTTATATATGGAGAAAACTAAAAGCCAAAGCACGAATGCTTTGGCTCGGCCATGGTTAAATAAATATATGCCTTTACTCTCCTTTATTTTCCCCTAAATATGTTAACTTCATTATAATAAGAAACCGGTCAACAGTGCCTAGGACACACGATCCAAGCTTCAGCCATGTTTCAAAGGGTTCCCCATGACTCTGCCTTTTCCTCGCATAAAAAGAAAGTGATCCTGAAAAGCAAGCTGTACTTAAGACTGCATTAACTGGCCTCCGTGAACAATAATTACCCTTTATATTGATTGATTCTGGGCAAAGCCTAGGCTGTATTTGCGTTACAGCTACCGTAGTTACAGATATTAATTTTAATGTCCTGCCATTCGATAAAAAAAAAGTTGCAGCTAATAACAAGACACAAAATCGTACTTCCAGAAATGTTTCTTATGTTCTTCATATCATTTACAGCGCTTAGAATATGTGATTACGTTAAACTGTTCTGAACGATTTTACAACTTGAAGAAGACTTAGAAGAGTTTTGGGACTTCATTACATTTGACTTCTTGAAGAGTGAAAAACACAGATAACGGGCTCTAAATTTTGCGATTCATGATCAAATCAGTGACATGCATGACGCATATGACTATACTTGTATTCTCACTGGCTGACAAATATCTTTGAGTGTGCATGTGCAAATTCCACAGTGCTCCACATGCAAGTTCTGTTAGACAGATTCAACGAGGTATTTTACTCTATAGCGTATATTTTCTATAACTATTTAAAGCTAAGTCTTTGCCAGACTCTATAATCAAATCATCGTAATGAATGAAATTTAGAATAAGACAGCAACCAATTCCTGTCCCTTTTTCATTAACCCCAAAAAAAGAAATCTGAGACTCTCAGATGGCATAGTCCCTAATTTTTCCTAAAGAAAAGTTTCCTTTGACCCCCACTCCAAGGGTAGTGAGAAAATGATATATTTATTTATCAACCTGTAATATTCCTAAGTGTTTTAATCTATAGCTAAAGTTGCGGAACCTTAAGAACTGATAAGCAAATAATCGCTTTAGTTCGTGAGACAGAGAACAAAGCGTAAGAAGGGGGAAATGACCCTTTATTATTCCAATAAGTTTTAATAGATGACTCTTTTCTTTTAGTTACAACAAAGCCTCCACTCGGGTTTGAACTAAGAAACAAAGAACTAAAATTTAACTAATATTAACTAAAAAGATATAGTCGTAGCTATCAAGTTTATATGAGAGCTGGCCCCTTAACGCTAATTAATGGCGAAGCTATCAAGGGCCTAAAGTACGGCCGAACGTAGTAATAGCTTAAGAGAGAAAGGGTAGCCTATAAAGAAGAACCCGTGCCAGTCAGAATCACTGGCTCACTGACGAAGTCAGTAGAACTTCACAGTTAAATACTTCTTCTGATTTGCATTCAAACGCGATTCTAAATTTCGTTCTGGTCTGAAGTTGTAAGCTTGAAATTAAGAAGAGATAAGAAAGTAATTTTAACTCAGAATTTAAATGTTAGATAAATTAACATAATCCTTACAAACTAATAGGACAGAAAGCCAAGTATAGATAACTACTGAGATAGCA